GTTTTGCTTGCATGTTGAACTTTTATTTGCTTTGTTATCATCAAAGCTGAAGTCCTTTCACCTTTATAGCCTTTAGGGTTCAACATTTTATTCATTCTCTCTTTTACTTCTTTTATTTACCTTTTTATGCTCTTTAATGCTTGGTTGTTTACCTTTATTCTATTACAAGATTTGGTCTTGCTAACTCAAGTTTGATTAGTTTCTCCTTTCCTTGTGCTATATGCAAATCTTGCCTAAATTTTTCAGAGAATATAGAAAGATAACAAATATATAAAACAAAATGTAAAAGAATTTACAAAAACATGTTGGTTTCGATTAAGGGGATTCAATGCATGTACTTGGTAATAAGAGATATGACTGACACTTATTTAAAGGGAATGCAACTCACAAGATAATAAATATGGTTAGAGAAAATCTAAGGGAGAATCTTCACCACAATAAATATTGTATTAGGAACATTAGCAATCTTAAAGTTGACTTGGCATAGGAGGCTGATATGCCTCCAGCATATATATGATTTTAAGCCAAAAAAGAAAGAATCTTGATAAATCTTGGATAAAAAGGCTATAATTGATATTAGATTGATAAATCTCAATCAGATATCTTGTCACTGATTTTATTATATTTTTGTAGGAAAATCTTCAACTTATCTCAGCATTGTATCAGAAAGATTGAACCAAGATATATAATGAAGATTTGATCAAGATATATATGATGAAGATTTGATCAAAATTTCTAAGCAAGGCATAAACTCTATAAATAGAGACTCAGACCTCAGAGACAAATAATCTTTGGCTGGAGAGAATTCTTGGAGACTCACACTGGAGATCAGGATTATTCTTATTCTTTTCTTTTTCTTTTATGAATTCTTTTTATTTTAATTTGTTTAAGTCAGACATGAACATGTCTGGCTAATTTGTTTATGTAGTTGGGATCACGGACCCAATGTGAATCCTTTATATTTCCTATATTGTTTTTATAATTTAATTAGTTTGTTTGTTATATTCTACCTGGTTTAATTTTTCATATCCTATTTAGAACTGATCACTCTAAATTATAGGGCTTCGAGGGTTAGAATTCACAATAGTTATATTGGGGTTTTAATCTGGACAACAGTAGAATAACAATTTGTGTATGATCTAGACATAGGCTTACATATATTGCAGACTCATAATTCATTTGCTTAATGCTTAATTCAAGAGAGATTACTAAGACATTAGAATTCTGATTGGGTTAAAGGGTTGAAATCACTAAGACATTAGGGTTCAACTATTTTATAGGGAAATAATGAATTGTCTGAACAAACGAATTAATTAATTATAAAATACAATATAGGAATATAAGGGAGGATCGGAGGTGAAGTGCATCCTGGCTACAGTCTTTTTTACAATTTCCAATCAATTTCATATTTTCTTGATATTCTTGGCATTCTTGATTTTCTTGCATGTTTTTTTAAATATTATTGTTTTTAAATTTCTGTTTTAAAATTCCAACCATCAATTACTTTCACAACCAAAATCAATTTTATTTTCCAACTTAAGGGAAATAATTAAACTAGTACTTGGTGCATTAATTCTCGTGAGAACGATACTTTACGTATCACTTTATTACTTGAAACGAACGGTATACTTGCCGATTTCGCAACAGAGGCCTTACTAGCTAGTGTGCTTTGTCCTTTCAATCTCTTGCTATCAAATACATTGTTAATGCTTCTAACTACTAATAATTTTGAGCCCGAAAGAGAAATTGTTAAAAGGGAAAATATAGCCTAATTGATGCCTCTCGAGATTTTGTACTACATGAATGACCTAGTTGTAATGCATGGTCATCGTCATAATTTATCGCATCCCAAGAGGTTTACCAAGAAAATGTTTACGCCAAGAACAATGAAAAGTTATTCGTATCCCAAAGTGAAAAAAATATAATGCATGATGGAAACATACTAGATGAATGACATGGAAGATATCTACAATAAGAACAATAAAATGAAATAACATTATAGACGATATATATGAGACAGGAATAAATGATATAGCAAGGGGGTTGCAATGAAATGACAATTAAATGAATGAAGATCAACAAAGAGGGAAAAACAAGTATACGCATTTTGTTCGACAAGTTCAAGTCTAGGGATTAGATATTTCTAAGATCAAAAAGTCAAATTCAGATGGTAGCTAGCCACCTTTAGAAGTGCAATTTAAAAGACATATCTAGACCCATAATATATAATATATATTTTGAACTGGGGAATAACAAATATATAAATAATAAACTAAATAAAAAATGAAAGGAAAATATTTGCAAAAATAGCAAAATAAAATGAATAAAGCTAATATGTAGAAACAACATGTACGTCTCTCCAATCATTGTTAGTGGAGTCATAATTTAAAACGACAAAAATTTTGTTTATCAAAACTTAAACAGCATCATCACAAACTTTATTTAAATTAGAAAATTATACTTTTATTTTGCAAATAGGTCTTCTAAGAATTTAGATCAAGGTTCGAGATTGCAAAAATGCTTTCAGTAGTAGAGAATAAAGTCACGTTACATTCTTAATATATTTGATTATAAATAATTAATTTTAATTAATTATGCAACTTTGATTTAAAATTAAAAGTAAATTGTAAAATTTAATTTATGTTATTTTCTTAAATTAAATTAAAAATAGAACAAAAAATAATTTACAATAAAACAAATTGACAAAATTTCCCTTAAAATGAAATAAAAATGAAAGTGAATAAAATGATTAATAATTTATTGTGAAAAACAAATTGCAAAAATTTAATTAGGTCTTGATGACGGAAATCCCATTTTAATATTATTCCTAATCTAACAAAGGAACTCAAAGAAACAATCTTCTTTAGAAAATAATTGTTGGTTGGATAATTACATGCATTCTCAAATAATTTAATTTTGTTAAATTGACCTCATTGTTGTTCAATATTTAAGATAGAAAAGCTAAAAATAAACTTGTAGGAATTATACATCATTTAAGGATAACAATCATATAATCATTGTTGCAGATCATTGCATGATTTCAAAAAAATTACAATAAATTTGTGGAAAATTATGAAAGGTGTTTGAATTTTGAAGGATATGGAAAATAATTTCATTTCAAAAATAAATTTACACTGCACTAAATTTAAGATAGTTTGTCATTATAAAGACTTTTACAAATAACACTTGAGGGTGACGAGTTATACAATCAACATTGTAGATTGTTACATTGATGAATATTTTATTGAACTAATTAAAAAATAATTTACTCTCTCTTTTCATCTATTTTATAATAATAATAATGATTTCAGCACAACATGGACATACACAATTAACACAATATCAAAACAAAGACAACATTCTCCTAAAAAAAAAACCCATAAATTTAAAAAATAATTGATTGTATATATATATTTTTTATTTCTATATTGTTATTCTTTTGTAAATTAACTTTCATTTGCACTCCACCTTTAAATGTGTATATCTTTTTAGAATATATGTGATTCAATATTTATAAAATAATAAATATTATTGCCATGAATTACGAAGAATAAAAATTTGCATGATGAGCAATAATAAAAAATTCATTATTGTATTAACGATTTTAAGTGTATCATGTTAATTACAATAATAAATGTTATCCATGTCTTTATGTATTAAATAGGCTAACAAATTCTCATTCTATTGCTTTCATGATTTTCAATTTTTCCTTTATCGTTTAGGCTTCTTAATAAAAAATTAGTGTAGGTATCGATGTCTTTAGTTTGCATGTTTGATGATTGAATAGGATTCACAAACCCCGAGCATAAACTCAAGGTACGCAATCAAAAACTTATGTAGAACATATTCATCACTCAATCATAGTTGTTGCTAGGAAAAAAGTACCAATCTATCAATTATGAAGTGTACACATCATGAGTTTGTTTAGGAACCTATCCAAGGCACTTCAAACAAAGGCATCATGATGAAGACAAATAGGAGTCCAAAAATTAATTTTAAAATCCTGATGATAGCACATTACTTGAACATGTACACAATCACTTTGCGATGAAATCTTGCATTCAATTAATTAACCTTTATAGAGGAATAAAGAAGAAAAATTTCCCCTCATTGTTCAATAGACTATAAGAAGAATTATGTTATTTGATGCGTTGTAGGGTGGTTGCTTATGCAGACCAAATATAGTTTCCATTTTCATGCATGGATTCTTTATTCTATCTTTATTCCTTGCATGTTTTCCATTTTAGTTCTATTCTATTATCCATGAGAAAATTGAACTAGCTAGTAGGGGCATTACCTTGCATCTAAGTATGTTGTAGTGGAGCGCTTCCTCGTAGTGGTGACAACTTGTGCATATAGTTCCTTTTCTCTTATAGTGTGGCTAAGGGGGATGAAGTGTCGTGGCTAGGGTTCTTGGGAATAATTAGGGTTATCGATTAATGAGTTAGGTCATGGGTTGTATTTGTAGGTTATAGGTTGAGTTTGGTATTTGGAACCCTTTTTTGTTTCATGTTAAAAAAAAAAGACTTAAAAATTATATTATAATGGTAGATTTGGTTAGGTGTCAAGAAATATTTTTTTCCTCTCCTTTACGTTTTTATTTGTGCTTTTGTCTTTTCTTATTTACTATTATATTATTTTTTAAGACAAATGACAAGTCAAATAAAAAAGGGAGAATATATGGTGTTCACAAATTCAGCCTCTCATTTAGAGAAACATGTGCAATTGAGTTAAAGGAAGATAAGTTATGAGAGATCGAAAACAACATTCTAGTCTTCTTGTGCAAGTCAGAAAAAATATTTTCTCTTTGCTTCTTTGAGTCAAGGAATATTTGTCAATTCATTAAATTACATAATTTACACATATAGTGAATGTGTTCAATTTGTCATAAACCTTAATTACATTACTCATTAAAATACATAAATTTTTCATTGTATGTTGCTTTTTTCTACTACCCTAGAATATATATTTAATTTATTATTACAACCTTTTGTATGTAGATGTCATCATCATATGGTATAGGTGCAGGTATCCTTGGTAAAGGTATCCCAAGTAGGGGAACCACTTTCAAAAGGGGTGCCTATAGAGGCATGAATAGGGGTAGGGGCAGAGCCCGAGGGGGAGGTAAAGACTACTTTCCTTCATCACAAAGTACTATGACACATCCTAATTTGTCATGCTCCAAGTTTTACATCCCTACACATGAGTCCTTGGTTTCATCGACGCATGCATATCAGGTTCGTCCACTATAATTTCATGTTAGTATTAAAAGTAGGAGTGAATCCTCTCAGGTGAAAAAATAGCCATTTGGTCATGTTATTTGATCATAATCACTAATTTAAAAATTATATATATTTTTTCTTTTATCTAATCATCAACGAGTGGTTGTAATCAAATAACATGATCATATGACTATTTTTTCACATGAAAGAATCCACTTGAAAGTAGTTATTTCTATTAGTTTGGAATATTAATAGTTTTAAACTATATTGAGGTGGTTCCCTTGCAGGTTAGCCCATCACTCCATCCAACAAATGGTGGAGATTCTTCAGCTACAGCTCCCACACATACACTTGGACTAGAGCTTCCACGATGGGGGAGCATAGATGTTGATGGGAAGATGTGGATACTTCCGGAATCGGGAGGAAAAGCGTAAGCATTTAATATTTTTGCAGTTTATGTTATAATTTGTTTATCCTGTGTAAATTAATTACTAAGATATTTGAAATTATTCTCAAAGGTTTGACCCTGCATCTGCGATGCATGACATAGCCTCAATAATATTGCATAACTATAGTGGAGCCTGGAAAACATATTCGCAAGTTCCTGAGGATGTGAAGAAGGAATGGTATCGACAGTTTCAGGTACGTACAAATTATTTTCCACAATATGGTAAATTGTATCATATACTCAATCTTGAATGATTGGTAAATGCAGGAAAAACATAAATGTCTGCCACAAGATGAAGATCAAATGAGGAAGAGTTTTCACGAAAAAGCTTCAAATTTATTGACATGTGACATGCACAGGCTCCGAAACGACCTTGGGAAACAGGATTGGATTGACAGAAAAAATTCAGCACAATTGCATGAGAAATGGGACTTTCCAAATTGGCAGATGAAGACCCAGAGGAACAAGGATAATAGAGCATGTTATGATGGACCTACGCATATGGGAGGATCTATTCCAAAAATCGAGTACGAGAAGAGAAGGGTAAATAATTTCACCTTGAAGCTTGAAAAATTACAAACTATCATTTACCATTTCCATTTTTGATTGACCTGATTTATTGTTTTGCAGAGGGAAGACCTTGAATCAGATCCAAAATCATTATGCTGGGAAAAAAATAAGAGGACTCAAACATTTAAATCAGACTGCTCATCATGGATTTCAACAAATGCAAGGGCAAATGTTGTGTGTTCTTCATACTTAAAAGTGTTTAGTTTATTTAGAATTGAAACATAAATTGTTTGATTATTAATGTAACTTGTATGATTTCAGGAAGAGTTCATGAAGCAGAAAAGTGATCAGGACAATGCTATAGAGAATGGGGAAGACTTGGTCACCCGCCAATCTGATAACCAATTCTATGTGCAAGCTGCGGGTGGTATGAATAGGAAAGGTCGCATTAACAATTTGGGATCAGAGGCAGGGAGATACAAGGCCTCAAAGATTTCTACCAACTCATGTGAAGGAGTGTCAGCATCTGAGTATGATCGTATAAGAGAGCTGATCACCAATTTAGTCACCAAGAATGAGCAACTCACTATGGAACAACAAGAGACCAGAAAGTGTATACAAACCTATAATGACCGGATGCATACTCAAGAGCAAGAGATGATTATTATGAAAGAGCAATTAGCGCAATTGATGGCTCAAGTAGTAGCGGGCATGCATACCCCTACTTGCTCCTCTAGTGTTAAGCCTACACCTAAACTTGAGGAACAAATCAAGAATTGTGATGATGTTGATAATCATGATGAATGTGAATACCTAGCTGAGGATAGTCAATAGGCGCTTTTTTATCTTTATTTTCTTTCATACACTTCGTGCTTAGTAGTTGTGATTTCATAAATTTATTATTTTCATTATGAAGAAGACATTTGATTGTTCAGATTTTAAACTATATTAAATTTATTTTGATTTGATATTATTTTCACCCAATATGTTATTTCATATTTTATATTATATAAATTTGGTTTAAGAATTTACATTAGATGATAATTGATATAGGGAAGAATCTAAAATCTGAAATATATATATATTAAAAAATATAATCAAAATTTAGCAATAGATTTTGCTACAACCTAAATTCGTTGCAAATTAGCAATTGGATTGGACACATGAAGCATGTACAAGATATTAAACACATATAAGGTGGCGCCTTAAAATTTGTCTCCAATCAATTACAACTTTTTATACATTTTTTAATCTCTAATTTGCAAGGGAGTGTTCTCGTCACAATTTAGTAACAAATAGTGTATCATCTCAAAATTCATTGCTAATAGATTGACAATTTTTTATTCGAAATCGCGACGAAATGTATTTTTTACGTTGCAAACAATCTAACTAGAATGATTTTATTACAATTTATTTCATTTGTCCCTAAATCCTTTTCTGATAAGTTTAGTGACGGACTTATATGTATTAGTGGTGGAAAGTGTTTGTTGCTAATACATATTTTTTTAGCGGTGTTCAGTATTAACATCTTTCTCTCTTTCTTTTTTATAAATATTATTAGGGAAAAATGTGTCATTTTAAAGGATATAAAATTATGTCATTTTAGATGAGAGAAAGAGATAAATCATGCATGGAAGAGAAAAGTGGATAAAAAAAATAAAGGTGTAGGTCTCACGTCTTTGTAAGAGTGAAATAATACAAGTTGTGTTATTTAAAAGGACAAATACTTTTCCCATATTATTAACTCCTCTCTATTGTTACACCAAAATGTGTTAGTTGTGAGAAATGACTTACATATTAAGTGGTTACACACTTCTTGTCTAGTCTACCTCTTTCTACAACAATATTTATTACAAAAAATATATTATTTTAAACGTGAATGATTATTGAAAGACAAAATTTAAAAGTGTATTCAATTAAACATAATACTTGTGTGTTGCATTGCATTTTATATAACATAATATTTATCCATCCTTAATATTAACCATTCTTAGTCATTAAGTCAATACAAACAACTCCACTTAATCCATGCAATGACTCAGTTCAATTTATATACGGTAGTTAGGGGTGTAAATAAGTCTCGACAAACTATATTGTAATATTATTAGTATTATTATTTAAAAAATAATACATGAAAAATGACTTGGAAATATTATATTGTATTCTTTAAGACGCCGTCATGTTTGCTCCCATTAAGTTAAATGGAAAGAGTGGAATTGGATTTGTACAATAAAACTTGCACTCAGCAATTAGAGTTGTTTTTGCTAATCAGGATTATCATTTGAAGGAACCCGGTTTGGTTTTCGATATTAATAATTTTCAATATATAATCTTCAAATATAAATGTAATTTCTCATTAAAATTGTCAAATTGCTCAAACCGTAGAATAAAAGAATCTTCTCCTCCACTAAATGTTATTTTATCAATAAAATTCTAGAATCGTGTTGCCATTAATTGAAACCCACTATGCGTGGCCTTAATGGTTTATTTTTATCTAATAAAAAATTCTTGATTTGAAACATAATCATTAATTGTCCATGGCTCATGAATGTAATCATTCAGGTAAAAGATGCGAATCTGATAGCTACAATATTGTTCTCTCTGATCTATTGCTAGAATTGAGGTTTAAACATGATCGACTTAAAAACAAATGGTGATCATCACGTCCTTTTTGGCGTCACTGTGCTGCTTTTAATCTCGTAATCAATCCATGATTTATGATCTTAATTACAAATTAAAGAATATTGAAACTTTTTTTTTTTTTTTTTTGATAACAAGAATATTGAAACTTTGTTAAAGAATAAATGTGACTTGGTCCAAAACTTGATCATTATCTAAAAGGAAACATCTTAACATTTCATACAAGTTAAAAGTAAAAAAGAAAAAAAAAAAAAAAAAACTACAACGTAGTTATGTCTTAATAAGGAGGAATCTTAGCCCCATCAAAAAAGAAGAAGAAGGAGGAATCTTAAAATAAATGCAATCAATTCCCCCCAAAAGTTATTCTAATAATTTCATATTTAGTTATGAGGAGTTGGTGGGGCTGTGGAATCTTAAGTAAAAGAATATTTCAAAAACAATGAAATAAATAAAAGGATAACTTTTTTTTTGGTAAAAAAAGTATAACTTTAACATTGCAATATAAAACATTTTTTATTTAATAATATTCATTTTGTTAGAGTTATTTTTAAGATGAAAATATTCAAACATAAATTATGTTGTTGATTACAATCTTTTAACTAAAATAAGTTTAGTTTGCAAACTTTAATTCAAATACCCGCTAAGGACCCATGTAACCGAGCTAATCCAAGTTTTGCAATTGTAATAAGGGTTCGCTTTTTCTGCAGTTACTGCAGATAAGTTATTTGCAGTAAGCCAATACGACGTCGTTTTGGGACGGAAATCATGGTGTTTTTGTAATTTTAATTTATTTTAGGTTATAATAGTCTTTATATTTATAATTTTTTAAGATTTAAATACCAAAACGACGTCGTTTTGGGACGGAAATCATGGTGTTTTTGTAATTTTAATTTATTTTAGGTTATAATAGTCTTTATATTTATAATTTTTTAAGATTTAAATACCAAAACGACGTCGTTTTGGGAATAAATGCAGATAACTTCTCTGCATTAACAACCTAAACATTTTTCCCTTGTAATAAACAAAAAATTGAAGCCTCGCGGTTGCTTAAATTATTATTATTTTTTTTTATAACATTAAGGGGCGAAGCCCCAAACAAAAACAAACAAACAACCAGAAACAAAAAATAACTATCCAGGGTCTATATCCCTACAAGAGGAGATTCCCCGAAGATCGTGATCAAATAACTGAGCAAGGTGAAACGGCATAATTCTATGACTCCAGAATCCAGTATCTTTGTGAAGAGCAGACTTGGCTAACCAATCTGCACAGGAATTAGCTTCTCTTGGAATATGAGAAAGCGTTACCTCCCAATCCTGACCGATGAGTGCTTGTATCTTAGCCACTATACGAGGCTGACAAGCTGCATTGCAATCAGCAAGCAAAGAGAATACTTCAGAAGCATCTCCTTCTAGTTCCACCTTCTTAAATCCCAGTTGCCAAACCAATTCCAGACCTTTTAGAGTTCCCCAAAGCTCCGCCATTAAAGGAGTGCAAGCACCAATATGATACTCAAAGCCTCCCAACCAAGAGCCATCATCAGATCTGATAATCCCACCACAAGCAGCCACCTCAGTATTCCTTTCAACTGCCCCATCAATATTAATCTTCACCCAATTTAGCCTTGGAGGTTTCCATAAACTCATACGAGTTGGATGAATGCTAGTAGTAGCCATAGCCTTCCTACCCATGCAGTTGCGAACTTCCTCTATATACATAGCAATTATGTGCGTTCCATGGGTTGGATGCTTGAAGTTAGTATCATGGACACTTTTGTTCCTCCATCCCCAAATGAACCAGCAAGAGATAAAAAAGACATCACGCCAATCATCTGAATTACTTTGATTCAAGCTTTTGAGATATTATTTTCAACCCAATCTCTAAGATCCAAGATGTAGAATAAGCTTTGCCGATTAGCTGAAACCAGAGAATTCCAAACACTTCTAGCATGCTTACAATATCTTAGAACATGGAGATTTGTTTCCAACTCACCAGGACACATTTTACAATGACCAGATTCCCCACTCCATCTAGATGTACGGTCTTTAGTAAGAAGGCGGCCATGCATTATGATCCACATACAAGATTTAACACGTTGAGGCCCATGCCATTTCCATATGGTAGTCCAAGAATTTTTCAACGGCATGAGAGGGAAACCAAGCATGTTATAATACGCGGTTTTAACTAAAGAGCAGCCAACCTTTTGATTTCTCCAAATAATGCGGTCATTTCCATCCGATGCGCTAGGAATGAGAACAGCTTGGATCCTTACAACAGCTTAAATTTTAATTCTGTGTAATTGTAAGTCGCTAGTTTGCAATTCTCTTGCATGTCTGCATATAATCATATTTATAATTATAGTGAGTAATTCTGGGTGGGGGTTGGGGGATTAAAATATTGTTTTTTAATAAATAATTACCAATAAGTTGTTGTTTTGAACCTAATTACGAATATATTGCACTCATTCACGCTCAAATTGGGCGTGACCATTCACACCTAATTTAGGCGTGATTAGTGATGGAAATCGACAATCACACAAAATTGAGAAAACAGAAAAAGAGATAAGAGTAGAGAGATTGACACGATGATTTACCCTGGTTCACTCAATTAAGGTTACGTCTAGCTTGTCTGTACTATATTCTCCTCACCGCCACTCGTTACAAGTCACTCGATTTACAAGGAAAATATAAATAGGATTAGAAAACCCTAACAACAGCTATTCATGGGCCAAATAATTAGAAAACCCCAGTTGCCTTTCTGCTGATCCCGATAATTAGGGCATTCATCAGCATGCGAAGTATGAGCCATACCCAACATTCTCCCACTTGGTGAATGCTTCGCATGTTTCTTCAATCCCAATGCAGCTGTACACCATTCAAACTTCTCTGAAGTCACTGCCTTGGTCAGAAAATCAGCATTGTTGACCTTTGTGTCAACCTTCTCCAGCAATACAACCTTGTCTTCAATCTTCTCTCTGATGAAGTGGTACTGTATGCCGATATGCTTGGTCCTTGTAAAACTCCGTGTATACCCGGTTTGTTAACATATCATCGTATTAAGCTGCGCTTAATTAAAAATGCGGAATATCTATTTCTTTTCAATTATGACGTCATTATACTTAGCCAAGTTGATTACTTAACCATTTTCATAAAATATCGCATGTATGTAAATTGCAAATAAACATCTAACTGAAA